AGATTGATGTGGTCTCTCAGTTTAGAGAGGTTCATAACTTTCATACATGTTACAAATATTTTACCAGGATACGATATCATATATTAATTTTAAAACCTGGTATTTTGGGGGTAAGACATTTGAAGACACAACCTGGAAAATATGATAGAACCAACAGATATTAAATCAAGTTCTTTTAAGATGGAAAATATTTTCAAGGTAGGGAATTGTCACCTCAGAGTGACCCAAGTCTTTCAGCAAGCCCCAAAACCTGTGAAATTAACCTGTGTCCACAGCTGTGCGTGCTTCCAAAAATGGAGGCTGGAAGCCAGTAACCACAAAGGAGCCACAAAATGAGAAGAGAGCTCGCAGTACTACCCTGAATCCTTGCCTCATTACCATATTGAAATCTCCATGCAGGGTTGGGGGTAGAGCTGCACCTTGCCAGGGCACATATAGGGCTAGGGTGAAGGAGAGACTGAACACAATTCAGTTTTCCTTGGAAAGCCCTACCTTTCCAGGAATCCCCACCCTCAGTCTCTACCTACCTGCCCTAAGACATCTTACAAACCCCTTTCACCCTACCCCCAACTCCCCAAAAAGGTACTTTGAGCACAAGCTCCCCTTCTCCTTTCTTTGATCAATGATAAAGTTTCTGCTCTGCTTAACTGAGCCTGGTCTCATTCTATTGGCATGAACGGCATCAAGCAGGGGAAAAAAAAACCCACTGGAATCAAAGACCCCCTTGAGTTGAGGGTCGGTAACAAAATCAGTACAAAGAATGCAAATATGAGCTCCAGAATATAGATGAAAATGCTCAGCAGAAAAAAACAAAAACAAACCAAAAAACTTGTCCAAAGGTGGCTGCAATCACACCCTGTTGGATCCTCACAAATGCCAGCTCTTTACCTCAGGGCCATGGATAATATCAGGCTGGAGCTGTGCCAGGAGTCGGAGTCCCAGCTCAGTTGGCTGTATCGGGCTGTTCCTTCTCCAGGGTTCTCAGGAACTCTGCCGTCGTTGCCTCTGGGTCTCTGGTGACGGGGAGTGGGGACAGGCCGGAGATTTGGGGCAAGGGTGAGAGTCAACGAAGCTGCCACTGTGATGACGGTGGGCCTGAGATTTCTCTTCTTACCCTCTCGACCCGCCCCGAGTGCTGTTGTCTTAGCCTGTGGGACACCCCTCCCCCACGTCCCTTCCTACCTCCTACCCCCGCCAAACCCTCTCCCTCGTTGCCAGAGCCAGAGGGCTCGCCCTGGGCCGTCGGTCCCCAGTCCGCGTGCGGCGTGTCCGGGGACATCGACGCTTCTCAGGGCCGCCAGCACATTGCCGGTGTGGATGCCCACGGCCCTTTCACCCAGGACAGGCTTGGGGCTTCTCTCCCAGCCTCAGACCCTCGTCTGTCCGCCTCTGCCCGAAGGTCATCGCTCCGGCCTCTGTCCCCTCCAGCCGTCGCCCTCGCCCCTCTCCGGGCGCCTGGGCATGGGGGAGAGCAGTGCCCTCGGTGCTTCGCACCCCGCGGCCGGACTCCAGTGTCCTCGCGCGGTCCCCACCGCAGGGGATCAGCCACCGCGCCTTCCAAAGCCTCAGAGTAACTGCTACCTGACCAACTACTGGTCTTCTCAATGCACCCTGCCAGAAGTGGCCCCTTCCCTCCCGGCGCGTCCTTGACCGCGGCCTCAGTGCCCCTGTCCCTGCCCCCGGGCCTTGGGCGTCTAGCGCGCGCTGCACAGGCGTCCTCCCCCTCCCTGACGACCCTGTCTCCTCCCTCCTTCCTTCCCCGTGGCCGGCTGCCGCTCCCCCGACCCCCAGTTTCGCTCAGGCTCTTCGAACTTCCCCCTTTCTCTGCACCCGCGAGTTTGAAGGCGAGCACCGCCCTCGCGGTTTCCCGCAGCTGGCCCTTGGAGGTTCCTGGGTGTAGCAAGTCTTCCTTCTTTCGGGGACCCCTCTCCTTCCGTGAGTGGCCACTGACGCTCCATCTCTTGAAGGAGCCCCTCAGCAGCTTGCTCCCCCGATGTCGCCTTCCCTGTTCCTTAGGGAGGAGGGAAACCCTATTGCGCACCCCCACCCATCCTCCAGCACAAGTCTGCACCAATGTGGATCCCCTCTCTCCTTAGACGCAAGGCCCCTCTCGCTGTCACCGCCTCCTCTCCGGTTCCTTATGCTCTCCTTGACCTTATTTTTCTGGCCAGGCCGAAGTGATTGCTGGATTTCCGGCCCACAGTCCAGTCCCAGGAGAGCTGGCTGCGAGGTGCGGTGGGGGAGGGCAGGCAAAACCGTCCACCCAGCTGCCCAGGTCACACACAGGCCAATAGGAAGGCTCGCCCTTCCTGGCTCAAACCAGAATGACTTAGAACTCCATCATTTCAACATGCTCATTCTCCCCAGACTTGCATTTTTAAGGCTTTTAACTCTAAATGGATGAGTTTTTCTCCTTTTAAAGGAATTTCAGGAATGATGTTGATGGTATCACGTTTTGCCTTTGCGAAGTCTCGGGCTTTATTGCCTGCTATCCCTATACCCCACCCCCATTTGCCTGCCCCTAGAGTTGTTCATTCCATTCTGTTTATCTTTCATTTTTACGTGTTCTCGCCAAAAAGTGTCTTGTTTTGCTGAAATGCCTTTTAAATTTGTGTAAAAGGAATTATCATTCCATTTCTTATTCAATGCTAAGATGTTAAGATTGGTCTGTGTACCTTCTGCCCCTTCTAACTGCTGCCTCCTTTCCAGAGGGCCCATCTACCTTGTTTTACCCTTCCCTTTACCTACCCTGCTCCCACTAGTAACAGTGCAATAGGCATTCTCATAATACCCTCTTATGCTTCGCTTCTCAAACAGGGTGCAATTTATCACCTGGGAATCTTGTTAAAATGCAGGCTCTTGGCTCGGCACCTTGGCTAATGCTGTAATCCTAGCGCTTTGGGAGGCTGAGGTGGGCGGATCACCTGAGGTCAGAAATTCAAGACCAGCCTGGCCATGGTGAAACCCTGTCTCTACTAAAAATACAAAAATTAGCCAGACATGTTGGCGGGTGCCTGTAATCCCAGCTACTCAGGAGGCTGAGGCAGGAGAATCACTTGAACCTGAGAGGCAGAGTGCAGTGAACCAAGATTGCACCACTGCAATCCCGTCTGGACAACAGAGTGAGACTCTGTCTCAAAAAAAAAAAGAAACGAAATGCAGGCTCTGATTCAGCCGGTCTGGAGCAGGGCCTGAGACTGCATTTCCAACTAGCTTCTAGGTGATGCCTTTTTTGCTGATTCTGGGACCACATTTTGGGGAGCAAGACTTTTATAGGCCTCTGTGAAAATTCATTCTGGGGTTCTGGGTCCTAGGGTATATGTTGATCTAATTTGTTGAGTATTGCCCATCTGCTCTCCAGTCTGGCTGCACCTCCTTACCCCATACCAGCTGGGCAGGAGGGTAAAATGTATATATTCTGTGGGGAAAGGAAGAAAGTCTTCTTGTTCCTGCCCACATCTCATCCACCAGTGCCTATGATAAGGGCCCAAAACTCCTCTCTCCCTTCGTTGGAATGGACCCGAGGTTCCAGAGCAATGTCCCTGGCTAGCAATGCATGACCAAGTCAATAACAGATGCAGGCCAGGCAACCTGGTCTCTGTCCTCACTACGTGGGACCCTGAATCCTCAGCCCACCAGATGTCTAGATTGATTTGGCTCATAACCTCCCTAGACGTGGGCTTTAGCTCTGATAGGAGCTCTTGAGAAGCCATGGGGTCTTCAGTTTAGTTGTTTGTATTTCCTTTGCGCCGTTCACCTTCCCTTGAGTAGCCTGGTAGGAGTCAGATGGCCTTGCCTTGCCTCTGGTCAATGACTATCCTGGGCCTGACTTCTCCTCTCTAAAATGGGATGTTCACAGGATAGCTATAGTTTGTGGTGCTAGGAGCGGTCCCAGTCCTTCCCTTGCATGCCAGAAGCCCTGAGACAGGGGCTCTTGCTTTAGTTTTACCCATAAGGAAAGTGAGGTTGAGCAAGGTTTAGCAATTTCTGCTAAGGCAATGGAGGTAGTAAGTGAGAGTTCTGGGATTCAAGCCCAGCCTCAGCTCATACACCAAAACCATCTAACCATGAGGCACGTCAGCTCCATGTCCCACCTCGCCCTCACTACCAGGCCATAAATCAGAGAGAACTACAAAGAAACAGGAAGGAAGAACTGGACCTTGGGTTTTGGGCACTGATGCTGAAGTCATCTAACCAGTGGCACGGAGGGTCGAAAAACTCTAAGGCAAAAATGAACCAGGGTTCTAGGGGCTGGTCCCAAGGGCCTGAGTATTTATGGGGCAAGAGAGGGGGACGTTGGGTCTGGGGCTTCAAGAGCAAGGATTTTAGGGTTATATATAAAGCAGGGATCAGAAGTGGGCGGGAGTTGGGGATGGCCAGGGATTGGGTGGGGGTCACGTGTGGATAAAGTTGTCTATCATGTACCTTACTTGGTGATAACCGATCACTCAATGTTTTGTTGGAGGGGCCAGCAGGCAAACAAATGGTCAGCATTCAGGGCATCAAAGGATTTCCCCTTCCAAGGCCCTTCTGGTGCCTGAGTGGCTTGCTGGGTCAGTTTTGGAAACCCTGAGGTTATGCTCTCCCCACTCACAGAGCTGTGCAACCATCTCCTCGCACCCAGCCCCAGGCCCAAGCATTTCACAATCAAAATAGTTCCACATCTGCACATTTTGAGATTTCATGGCACATGACCTTTTACATCTTGTCCACACTTATCCAGCCTCTTGTTAACCATTCTAGGGCCAGAATTCTATCTAGGACAGAGAATTGATCTGAAAGCCAGAGAAGCTTCCTATTTCTTCAGCAGTCATTGGGGTCAAAAGATCTTTTGAGCATACGGAATATTCTTAGAGCTCAAAACAGCATCTTACAGCTTTTTGGTTTTTACAAAATGCTTCACAAACAGATATTGCCCTTGACTCACAACAACCCCATGACAGGGGTGGCCCACCTAACACTGAGGCTCAAATGAATTAATTGGCCAAGGCCACACATTGTGTAAGTGGGTGAAATGGGACTTCTTGACCATTTTCCATAACAGACCTTGGGACTCTTAGAGAGTGAGTTCGTACTATCTGACCCCAGTTGGTCCATTTCTCAGACTTGGGAATGTGGACTGAGGCAGGAAGAAGGAAGTCTAGGGAGGACGATGAATGGGTTGCAAGGTCTGGAAGGCGAGTGAGTTGAGGTTTCCTGGGGCTTCTGGTCAGCCTTCTTCCTGATAGGTTTTCTGTCACTGTGACGCTCTCTAGAGTCTGTGGTTCTCCTGGAAATGGAAAGAGGGGATTGGTGGGAGGAATGGCAAGGCCAGGGGTACCCAGGTAGAAGTTCTCAGTGAGTCTGAAGCTGAGACAGCTGAGTGGCTGTGAGAAAACGATGCTGTCAGTTGCCAAGGGGGCTTCACGGGTATCACCAAATCCACATGGGCGCTCTTGGTGGCTTGGCCAGGCTCTGCCCCTGGCTAAGCCGTTTCTACCAATGGCTAAACCATCTGTCTTGGCCCCTCTTCTCAAAGCCCCCAGCCCCTCACACCATGAAGCTGCAGCAATGGCTTGAGGAAGGTGCCCAGGGGTCAGGCCAGTCTACCTGTTAGGGACTGGAGGTCTGGGGCCTGTCAAGCCAGGGGGTCCTGGTCCCGTTGCCCTTCCTCTCCCGGCAGGGTCTCAGGCCCTAGGCCAGGGCTCAACAGATGCAGGCAGCAGGATGGAGTTGCCCTTCTATTGATCCAAGTCCTGAGCGTAGGCTGGGTGAGTCATGGAGGTGAGGAGGCCCACAAGGCTCAGCAGCGTGGAGAAGAGCAGCAGGAAGGATGCCATGAAGAGAAGGGCGGGCAGGGCACTGAGCAACAGCAGCAGGAGAGCCGGCAGCACATGGCGCCACACCGCGGCCACGACGGGCCACAAGGAGCTCAGCAGGTAGGAGCCAGTGGTGAAAAGTGCATGGCACAGCATCAGTGCCAGCAGCAGGTACAGTATCCCCTCCAGACCCCACAGCAGGCGCTGCAGTGGTTGCTGCCAGCTCGAGGTGTTCCACCACTGAATCCAGCTCCGGGGCACATGGGATGCCAACCAGCGCACCCAGCCTTGCCGTGTGAACCAGGCCGACCAGGGCGCTGTCTGCTGTGGCCCCTCACCAGCCCCGATGGTATCTGTCTCCACTCGCGGCTGCTGCATCATGGCTGGTGCACCTGGGGAGAGGGCCAGGGCCTTGGAGATGCCTGGGACCTCAGGAGGGCAGAAAGGGGGTGCAGGGGTCAGGAGGCACCAACATGGGTGGGTGGGACAACAGAGCTGGGGCCTGAGACTTACCTCTGGGCAGAGTTACCTAAGTCATGTTGCTTCTTGCAGTGCCCAGGACGGCCTGGCAGGCAGATCCAAGTCCTACTCTCATCTACCCCTACCCTCCCCAGAGGAGCCCCTTTGTGACCCGGGCTGGGGTGGGGTCCCACCAAGAGAGGATCCACTGCAGGGTGTGAGGCCCACCCAAGTCCCTCTGCATGGACCCTCCAGGCTAGCAGGGAGCCTCGGAGCCCTGCAGGTGTAGTTACTCATGCTTTCTCACGGAAAGCCCTCCCTGGAACCCTGACCCTTCCTTGCTTTCCCTGCTGGCTGATATCCACCCACTTCCACCCTGTTCTCTTCTGTCTGGACCTTCATTCTCTAGAACCACAGAAGAGGCAAGAGTGGCGGCCCCAAACCCACAGGCTCTGAGATAGCTGCCACATCCTTCCCCAGGCTCCCTGGCTCATGTCCTGCCTTCTCTTGCTGCCCCAAGACTCAGACCCAGGTATCCAATACCTATGTTATGGGACTGGAGGTCCTGTGAGGTTCAGGCTGGGAAGAAAGGAGTATCATCCCACCTGCCCAGCCAGGAAGGAGAAAAAGGGGCCTGAGGAAGGAGGATGGCCATTGTATATTTGAAGGACACTGAGTTTTTGGGAGGGGCTCTCAGGCCCAAGAATGGAGGCAGAAAGCCAGGGCAAGCAGGGTCAAGGGCATGCTGCAGGCTCTCAGGAGCAGGCCAGGTCCCATGAGCAGCAGCAGCAGCGCGTCCTGGAGGCGAAGTTGTCCCGACACTGCCCCCATTTGTAGGAGTAGAGCCTCCTGCTGTCCTGGACCCTCACCGGCCCCCTGACTCTGGCCCCTGGTGAGAAGTTTGCGCTGTGGCTGTGTGCCACCTGCGGGCCTGCGGAGAGAAAGGGTGGTGGCTGGGTTTAGGGAAGTTGTCCACTAGACTGCCTACCTACAATGCCCACCTGCCAGGCTGCTGTCCACTTACCTATGGAGCAGGTCGAAGGTGAGGAAGCTGACCAGCAGCAGCAGCAGCAGTAGGGCTGGGCCAGTCGTGGAACAGACTGCCTGAATCATCATCCCTAGTGCCCCCAGCCCTAGGACACTGTCCAGGAGCTGGGCCCAGCTAGAGCCCCAGGGGGACATACGAGCATGCACTGGATGACTCGACCCCTCCCCAGCATTCAGACCCCTGGGAGGGACTGGGATCGGATCTACAAGGGCTTTGGGTCTGGGTAAACAGAGCTGGGTCATGGAGAGAGGTGGCAGTGACAGGATGAGCTAGTCCTAAAAGGGATCATGGGGTGGGAATGGGGGAAGGGGTAGGGCCCTGGCAGACACAAGGGTGGGCTCAGAGTGGGGAATTAGGCTCCTGTGGAGTCTCCCCCTCCACCATACTCACCCCCTAAACCCTCCTCACCTGCTCCCACTTTGGTCAGCATTCTAGGACAGCACCTGGGGCATTGTGAGCTGTTGCCAGGTGGGGCCCTGGGGTAGGGAGGGGGCTGCCGCTGCAGCTCTGGCCTCATAAGCAGCTGGTGGCCTAGGTGGGGCTTAGCTGGGAAGTCAGAGATTTCTGAGAACTAAGACTCATCCTCTTGCCATTGCTGATTCTCTGCCCTAGGGCCCTCCCTTGGGGATCTGAGTTGTCAGGAAGGCACTCTAACCCCATTACTACTTGGGCATCTGTCCAAGGGAGCGAGATCTGCTTTCTTCTTCCTGTGAGTTTTCAGAGCTGCATGTTCAGGGGCAGATCATTCAATATTTCTGTCCCCAGCTGTCTTCCCTGTGGGCCCTTCTGGGGATTTTTCAGGCCTGCAGTTTCACCAGGCTCCTGCATAACCTGCTAAATGGAGGTGGGAGAGGAGGGGGCTGTTCAGGTGTTCTAAGCGGTAGTTTATAGGAGGTATTATGCATACTGGGGTTCCAGAAATCAGGCAGAGGACATGAACCTAAGTGGACTGTGACCTAGTAGCCCGAGATTAGAGGTTAAGGTTACACTCTGAGAATGGATGTAAGGAAAATAAGCATCTAGTGTAGGGGTTGGTCACCTGGATTATCAGTAGATCACAATACACTGATAATTTGTAAATGAGTGGTGGCCACAGGGGTTCCAGCACATCTCAGTTTAGTGACTTGAGAGGCAAGAGTAGAAATGTGTCAGAATTAAGAGAACTTGCCGGGCGCGGTGGCTCAAGCCTGTAATCCCAGCACTTTGGGAGGCCAAGGCGGGTGGATCACGAGGTCAAGAGATCGAGACCATCCTGGTCAACATGGTGAAACCCCGTCTCTACCAAAAATACAAAACATTAGCTGGGCATGGTGGTGCGTGCCTGTAATCCCAGCTACTCAGGAGGTTGAGGCAGGAGAATTGCCTGTACCCAGGAGGCGGAGGTTGCGGTGAGCTGAGATCGTGCCATTGCACTTCAGCCTGGGTAACAAGAGTGAAACTCCGTCTCAAAAAAAAAAAAAAAAAAGAGAACTTAATCTTTGCCAACATATCATACATTGAACGAAAACTGGTAGGGGTGGCAAAAGGGGAGACAGTGGCCATACAGCCCCTAGGAGAGGAGACAGAACAAGAATCAGACTGTATATCTGCCTCCAGAAGGCCTTTCCCAAAGACTCAGGCCTTGTGGCCCTGATCTCTTTGGTGGAAGTGGGCTTCGCAGCCCAAAGAACCAATGTCACCAGCCCTAGGGACCATCGACTGGTTGTCCTTGCTCTGGCTCTTTTTGCTTATCCAGTAACTGGGCTTTAGGGGTAGATTTGTCCATAATGGGAAAGGGTATAACAGAAGATCCCAGAATTTTGTATGTGTGTGTCTGTGTATTAAGTTCCAATCGTATTTGTAAAGGAGCATTAAGGTTTAAGATTGCCAATACCCTGAGCCTGATCAACCCTGGATGCATCCACACATTTGCATTCCTGGACATACAGACTTGAGAAGCATGTCGGAATCCAACCCATGACCCAAACACCTCCCATCAGGCCCTACCTCCAACATTGGGGATTATATTTCAGAATAAGATTTGGACAAATATTCAAACTATATCAATGGGTCATAATTACTAAAAGCAGAGCCTGAGATGGGGATTCATATACACATGGTTTATTGAGGGAGTGCTCTCAGGAGAAAAGCTTTTTTTTTTTTTTTTTGAAGCAGAGTTTTGTTCTTGTTGCCCAGGCTGGAGTGTAATGACACAGTCTTGGCTCACTGCAACCTCCACCTTCCGGCTTCAAGCAATTCTCCTCCCTCAGCTTCCTATGTAGCTGGGATTACAGGCGCCCACCACCACACCTGGCTAATTTTTGTATTTTTAGTAGAGATGGGGTTTTACCATGTCAGCCAGGCTGGTCTTGAACTCCTTACCTCAGGTGATCTACCTACCTCAGCCTCCCAAAGTGCTAGGATTACAGGTGTGAGCCATCATGCCTGGCCAGAAGGTGAAAATTTTTTTAAAATCAAGAGACTCTTCAGAATTGAAGGACATGATTTTCTAGACCATAAGTTTCCACCAATTCACAGCACAATAAAGGAAATTGGGCTAGCTAACACCAAGGCATATGATGAAATTCAAATTACCGGGGATAAAAAGACACTTCTAAGAGCTTCCACCAAATAAAAAGATCACATATATTGGATCTGAAGCCAGAATGATACCACACTTTTAAACACCAATACTGGGTAGCTAGAAGACAATTAATGCCCTCAAAATGATTTCCAATATAGAAATGTAAATGTCAAAATCATTATTAATTGGGAGGGTAGAATAATGACATTTCAACAACAAAAGTTCTCAAAACCTTGATCTTGTATATACCCTTTCTTAGAAAGCTTACTGGAGGATGTGCTTAAGCAAAACAAAGAATTAAACTAAGAAAGAGAGCAATATGGCATTCAACAAATGAGATTAAACACAGAAAAGGTTTAATGATGAGAAAGGCCTGGGATGTCAACTGTACCCCTAAGTAAAGAAAGTAACCAACCGGCCTGAACCAGAAGATGTGCTCCAGGAGTGACGTCTCCAGAGAAAAATGAAATCGGCTGATTATTAGCTATGTTTAGATATATTGAGTAAATATTCAGTTCTATTGGAAACTTTGGGGTTGAATTAGTGATTGGTGCCTAGAAAACTAGGCAAATAATAAGAACAAAGTAATTACTAACTCCAGGTAGCACAAAAAGTTAAATGTCATATTTACATGGTCATAACAAAAGCACTGAATATTGATTCCAAATGGTGGTTTATGTTTACTGAAGACGGAAGGAGGGAGTATACGTTTGTGTATCTGGATGTGTGTATTGAGGGGAGGGTGGCAGAAAAACTAATTCTTTAATTCTATAGCAGAAAATCCACGGATAATAACTACATATAGAAAAATCAATAAATAGCCAGGCACTGTGGCTCACACCTGTAATCCCAGCACTTTGGGAGGCCGAGGCGGGCAGATCACTTGAGGTCAGGAGTTCAAGACCAACCTGGCCAACATGGTGAAACCCCACCTCTACTAAAAATACAAATATTAACTGGGCATGGTGGCGGGCACCTGTAATCCCAGCTACTAGGGTAGTTGAGGTACAAGAATCACTTGAGCTGGGAGGTAAATGTTGTAGTGAGCTGCGATCTCGCCACTGCAGTCCAGACTAGACAACAGAGAAATAATTTTTTTTTTTTTTTAAAGGCCAGGCACGGTGGCTTACGCCATAATCCCAGCACTTTGGGAGGCCGAGGCGGGTGGATCATCTGAGATCAGGAGTTTGAGACCAGCCTGGCCAACACGGTGAAGGCCCTCTTTCTACTAAAAATACAAAAATTAGCCAGGTATGGTGGCAGGCGCCTGTAATTCCCAGCTACTCAGGAGGCTGAGTCAGGAGAATCGCTTGAACTTGGGAGGTGGAGGTTGCCATGAGCCGAGATTGTGCCACTGCACTCCAGCCTGGGTGACAGAGTGAGACTTTGTCTCAAAAAAAAGAAAGAAAAAAAAAAAAGGAAATAGCAAGAAAACTCAGCATAGAGATAAATATAGGAGAAAAAACAAAAAAGAATTACAAGTGCCTGGCTTAGGAAAGGCATACAGCAGACTCTTCCATTGCAAGCCTAAATGTGATTTACCTTTAAAACTATATTG